ATTGTGACGGTAGAGGAAGAACCTATCTGGAACCAAGAAATGCACCTTCAAGAGAACAGCTTTTCTGGCCAGGAGGCCTCCCACCAACTTTTTAGGTACTTCTGTTACCAAACTAGACTCCTGGTCCCCAAGAAGCCCTGAAGTGGCTCCGGGAACTCAGTGGTTGAGTTATCAGTGGTTAAGGTCAGACACACACACCAAAGAGCAGATGCTGGAGCAGTTTCTGAGCATCCTGGCCACGGAGCTGTAGGCCCAGGTGCGGGAGCAGCACCTGCAGAGTGGGGAACAAGTGGTAGCTGTGGCTGAAGATCTGGAGCAAAAGCTTAGTGGGCCAGAGAAACAGGTGAGAGAGGAAGATGGCTCCCAGACACCACGTACTAAGAGAAAGTTGAGGTTTAGTGACTCGGGTTGATTGGCTATAGCCACATGTATTATTAGTTCTCTGTTGTTATGTAAGAAGTCACCCTCAAGCCTTAATGATATAAAAAAGCAAACAGGACTTCCGGGCAAGATGGCGGGTAGGTAAATGCAGTATCACATCCTCCCACAACCACATCAAAGTCACAACTAAACTACAGACCATCATTCAAAACCACCTGAAATTAAGCTGAATGGAAGTCCTACAACTGCAAAATTAAAGCGGCAGCTGCATCAAGAATGGTAGGAGGGTGGAGGCAGATGGGCTGGTCCCACACCTACGTGTGGCAGATAAGAATTAGGAGGAGACCTTGGCTGGGAAGGTCCTTCCTGAGGACTGAGGGGTCCCCAGCCCACACCAGGCACCCTGCTCAGGGTTCCAGTGCCAGGAAGAGAAGTCCCCATAACTTCCGGCTGGAAAAACCAGTGGGAACTGAGGCTCAGGAAGGCAGAGGCGACTGGAGCCCCAGGCAGCTCCTCTTAAAGGGCCCGCGCACGGATTTATTGGACTCACTACCTCTAAGCTTGGAGGGGGAGGCAGATCCAGGGGCACCAGAGACATACAGGGAAGAACTAAGCTGTCTGGCACTGGAGCGAGGGCTGGAGAGGGGGCTTTCTCCGGGACAAACTTGCTGTCAGAGGCCTTTGTTCCTTTGGTGAGCCCTTCCCTGGGGCAGCAGACAGTCGCCACATCTGGAACTCCAGTAACCTGTCTGCCTCGCCCTGGTGATTCCCTGAGGACCCGCCCCACCCAACTTTCAGGCCCACCCAAGCTGTTGCCACTTGCTTAAACATAGGATTGGCCTGTCTTGAAACCTGCTTGAGGTTTTCCTAAATTCTCTCAAACAAGCAGCATCTGCTCTCAGCTAGCCCCATACCTCTCGTTAAGTAATACAGAGAAACAAACACAGGGAGGCAGCCAAAATGAGGAGACAAAGAAACAGGTCCCAAATGAAAGAACAGAACTAAACCCCAGGAAAAGAACTAAGCAAAATGGAGATAAGCAACCTAACAGATGCTGAGTTCAAAACACTGCTTATAAGGATGCTCAATGAACTTAGTGAGAACCTCAACGAACTTAGTGAGGGGCCTCAAGAGCATAAAAAAGGACAGTCAGAAATGAAGGAGGCACTAACTGAAATAAAGAATAATTTACACAGATTCAATAGTACAGAAGGTAAAGCCAAGAAGCAAACCATCGATTTGGAATATAAGGAAGCAAAAAACACCCAATCAGAACAGCAAAAAGAAAAAAGAATCCAAAAAAATGAGGATAATGTAAGGAGCGTCTGGGACAACTTCAAGCGTGCCAACATTCGCATCTTGAGGGTGCCAGAAGAAGAGAGAGAACAAGAAATCGAAAACCTATTTGAAATAATGGCAGAAAACTTCCCTAACTTGGTGAAGGAAACAGACATACAAGTCCAGGAAGCACAGAGAGTCCCAAACAAGGTGAACCCCAAGAGGCCCACACCAAGACACATCATCATCAAAATGCAAAAGGTTCAAGACAAAGAGAATCTTAAAAGCAGCAAGAGAAAAGCAGTTAGTTACCTACAAGGGAATTCCCATCAGACTGTCAGCTGTTTTCTCAAAAAAAACTTTGCAGGCCAGAAAGGAGTGGCAAAAAATATTCAGAGTGATGAATAGCAAGAACCTACAACCAAGATTACTCTATCCTGCAAAGCTGTCATTTAGAATCGATGGCCATATAAAGAGTTTCCCAGACAACAAAGAGCTAAAGGAGTTTATCACCGCCAAACCAGTATTATATGAAATGTTGAAGGTTCTTCTTGAAGAAAAAGATAAAATATATGAACAAACAAAATGGCAATGAATACATAGCTATCAACAATTGAATCTACAAACAAAATGAACAAGCAGAACAGAAACATTCTCATAGATATAGAGAACATTTTGTTGGTTGCCAGATGGGAGGAGGATGGGGGAATGGGTGAAAAAGGTGAAGGGATTAAGAAGTACAAATTGGTTGCTAGACTGACAAACCTCAAAGGGAAGGGGGGGCGGGGTGAGAAGAAATAAACCAAAGAACTTATATGCACATATGCATAACCAATGGACACAGACAAAAGTGTGGGAAACGGTAAGGGAGGGGGGGGACGGGAGTGGGAAGGAGGGAGTCAATGGGGGAAAAATGAGGAACATCTGCAATACATTCAACAATAAAGATTTAAAAAAAAAAAAATGTAAGCCTTACATTTATTAAAAAAAGACATTCAATAAAAAAATTTTTTTTAAAAGCAGTCTATGGTCATCTGAGCCTGACTGAGGCTGGTGCACCCACTGCTCCCTCTCCCTTGGTTGCTGGTAGGAGCCTATTTCTCACTAGTGGGCAGGTGGTCTTTATTCTTTGCCATTTGCATTTCTCCCTAGGACTCACTCAGTGTCCATCCTCGTAATATGTCAGCTGGCAAGAGAGAGAGAGAGAGAGAGAGAGAGAGACAGAACGTACGCATGAATGAGAGTAAGAATGAAACCACAATGCTTTTCAAGACTTAGCTTAGAAATTACATACCATCACTTCTGACACACTTTGTATTTAATAGAAATGAGCCACTAAGTACAACTCACACTCAGCACCCTCCTTGGAGTGTGCATGTGCCCTTCTCTTGGGCACGTACTTTTAAAAAAAATTTATCCTAACCGGAGAATATGTTTTTTAAATTGATTTTAGAGAGAGGAAGGGAGAGAAACACTAATGTGAGAAACATCGACTGGTTGCCTCCTCTAAGCGCCTCTACCTGGGATCGAACCCACAACCTTTTGGTGTACAGAACAACATTCCCACGAACAGAGCCATCAGGCCAGGGCAACGTATTTAAAAAATAAAAAATAAATTCTGCCCCCTTACTCCCCGGCTGGTACTTGTGACCAAGGGACAGAGGTGCAGCAAAACCCCTGAACCTGTCCCTGAGGCTCCATCTCTGACTGTCCAGTGAGCCAGCAGCAGCCCTGCCCAGGCTCTCCTGTTGCTTCTTCTATCCTAAGCCCTTCCTTGTTTCCCTGTCCACAGCTTTAAGAAACATACTCTCAAAAAAATAAATAAATAAAAATAACTCAAGGGGAGGGGAATTAGGCTGCACCTTTTAAAGAAAGAGAGGCAACATCCCGTGATTGTTGTCACCCTCACAAATTTCACTGTTCTTAGGCTCTAGACAATCTCTTCGGAGTCTGCTATTCCCAAAACGTTCCATTTCCTCTAATGAACATAGTTCAAACCACCACAGCCACTTTGTTCTTCCCCTTCTGCTCGAGTGTGGAATTAAACTGTGCCATTTCTCTATGAAATGTTTCATGTGGTTCCGGACGATCTCTTTCATTGAGTGTTAGCCTGGGGTCCTGGGGTCCTTCTCTTATAAACACAAGCATACCTGCCTATCCTCAGGCCCCAGGTTACAAACACGGAGATTCTGAAGCGCTCTCACAAGACGTGGCGCATGTGAAGGCCAGTGAGGTCCATTGTGATGCAGCTCAACTGTGAATTTCTTGGTCCCCCAAAAGTTGGAGAACATGGTAAGCATTTTGACAGTTCCCATCAAGGGATCTCTGGTAGTTCTGTGTAGGACAGTCTGGGGCCAAACTGCCTGGGTTGGAATTTAAACATAATTTCTTGGTAGTTCTGTAACCTCCCTGTGCTTTCAGGTTATGCATCTATAAGACGGGGATAATTGTAGCACCTCAAACACTTAGAACAGTGCCTGCCTGCACACATGCTCTCTAGCAGCCTCACCTTCTCTGGGTTACCCCACCAGTACCATCTCAGCAGTGCTGTGCTCCCTTGCTCTGTAGGTCTCAATATCCCCACTTAATGCCAGTTTTGTATTCCTAGAACTTGTGTGTTTGACATGGGTTTCCTGTTGTACATCCTGTGGTTGCAGTCTTTCATAAAGGAAAGAGATGACATCACTTGGTCCATTTATTATTCCAGATGGTGAAATTGTACCTGAAAACCAGGTGCTGGCATTAAAGAAGTTTTAAAAGAAACGGAACATTCTGGGAACAGCAAATTCCAAAGGGATTGTCTAATTATAACTACAGAGAAACCTGTAAGCGTGCAGCAGGATGGAAAAGCAGGAGACATCCTCCTGGAGAGAAACATCACAGGTGTAACGAATGTGGGAAAAGCTTTACTCGAGTTCAGTCCTCATTCAACACCAGAGAATCCATACTTGGGGTAAAGCCATACAAAGGTGAAGAATGTGGGAAGACCTGCAGCCAGAAGTCAGGCCTGACTGAATATCAGCGGGGCCACACTGGAGAGAAACCGTTATCAGTGTAAGGAGTGGAGGAAAGCCTTCCGTGCCCACCATGGCCTTGTCAGACACAGAAGAATCCACACAGGGGGAAAGCTATACAAATGTGAAGAGTGAGGGAATGCCTTCCGTCTGAGCTCCCACCTGTCCAGCACCAGCGGACCCACACTGGAGAGAAGGCTTAGTGTATTTGTGGGAAAGCCTATAGTCAGAACGCAGGGCTTTTCCAGCATCTCTGAATCCACACCAGAGAGAACCCCTATCAATGTGTCAGTGCGGTAAAAGCTTTAGTAGACGAACAGTTCTTACTAAGCATCGGAGAAGCCACACTGGAGAGAGACCCTCTGCGTGTGATGAGTGTGGGACAGCCTTCAGTCGTCACTGCAACCTCATCAGGCATTTAAGAATCCATACTGTTGCCAATTTGGAATAACTTCATGGACACCCATGCTCCTAAAAGGGGCCATCATGGAAAGAAACATTTTTCAAATGGTTTATTTTGTTCCTATCATATTATTTTGCTGCAGAATGAGATGCCTGCAATGTGGCCAAACATTCAGACTGAGGTCCAAATACCTCCAGCACCAGTGGGTCCACATAGGGGACAGACCCTATCAGATAAGAGTGTAGCAACACCTTCCAGTAGAACTCAACATATCTTGAGCATAAGAAAACCCATCAAAAAGGAAATAAAGCCAAGAAAATGTACTTGATAGTATAAAACCTTCAGGCAAAGCCTTAGTGAGTGCAGATGAATCAATGAAAGAAGACACGAAGACCTTGAGTCTTCTATCAGGGGTACATCTACTGCAGTGAAAAGCAATTCTATCTCCAGCAGAGCCCAAATTTTACTGCTTGCTGCAGTGGTTGTCAGACAGAAGCTAAGTATCACATGATAACACAGATCTTGAGCCTGTATGGACACTGACATGGGCCTTACTGTAGAAGATAAATAATCAATAATATATTCAGCATAGCCGGAGATTTTATAAATCTGAAAATTTTGGTAACTATATCCTAGAGAGAAACTTATTCCTTAATTATACCCTTCAATGGGTGAAATGCAGGAAAACTTAGTCAGAATCATGTTTGTCCTGCTTTGAAAAATCTACAGTGATTCAGTTTGAAGAGTTCCTTGGGGCCAGCCAGAATACAAGATTCCTGAGCCTCTTCAATAAAATTGTGAAGTTACCGCTTGTCTTTGTCTCTCACCCCTAATTATTCTGTATTTTTCCCCATCAAAGTTACTATAATACTCCTCTGCTCTAAACTACACTTCAAAGATAAAACTATTTTTTGGATAGCTAACTTTCCCCATCAAGCTGCGATATTAGTATCCAGAATGGTATGGCAAACAGATTAATTTCAGGTCCTGTTTTGGTTACAAAAGAGATCGTCTACTTTATGTTTAGTAAAGGACATGATCTCAATACAAGTAATGACCACGTGAGGCATCACAGAGGTGGGTGACAGAGTATAGAAGTGTTCGGTACAGTGTTGGGGAGGACAGACAGTCCTTCTCTTGGCACAGATCTCAACAAATTTTGGAAGGCTTTCCACCTTCCAGCCAGGAATGGGACTGTAAACATTAGGATGTGAAAGGAACATAAGCACTTGTGGTTATGACCCATAGATATGAGCTGTGGTCCATCTTCTCTTAACCCTCTACCCTAACTCACTAATTCCAGACTTCAATACTAAGGAGTTAGAGTTCACGTCATCCCATTTTCAAGTACTGCTCCTTGGGTTATCTATCCTGATGACATTAATCCTGGACTCACTTGTTTATCTTGATTGATTTCAACATGGGCTCTCTGTTAACCCTACTACTACCCTCTCCTTGCTCCTTGTGATGATTCTATTGCTCTGATCCACTTCGTGTTTCTTTATTCTTGGCTTCTGCCGCTGACCCCCATGATGACAACAAGACAGACCATTCATTTCGGTGTTCCAAGGTAACACTCCACCTCCGGTTTTGAATACTCTCCTTCACCAGCTATCGGGTCTGCACACATCAGAACCAGTCTCACACCAACACTGAGGTCCTCAGTTGCTTATCATCCACGTTTTGTTTAGGTCATCCTTATCTCATGGGCTCTGTCTCAATTTTCAACTATGCATTCAGTCACTAAGGTTACTATGACATTATCTGCATTTTAAAAATGGCATTCTCGCCCTGGCCGGTTTGGTTCAGCAGTTAGAGCGTCAGCCTGCAATCCAGAGAGACCCGAGTTCGGTTCCCACTAAGGGCATGTACCTCGGTTGCAGTTTGTACCCGGCCCTGGCTGGTCGTGTGGGTGGCAGCTACTCGATATGTCCCTTTCACGTCGATGTTTCTCTCTCTCTCTCTCTTCCTCTCTCTCCCTCTCACTCTGTCTGAACAAAAAAATGAAAGAATGTCCTCGGGTGGGGATAAAAAAAAAAAAAAAAATGGCATTCTCCAGAGAAAATTACCAAAAAGGGGGCAGTATTCCATTCCTTAAATGTACAAAATAATTCAACAAATAAATGTTTTCCCATGCCTGACACCAAAATTAGACATAGTGAAAGGTACCACTGCAGTTCAATATTTTAAGATACTTTTACACATCACTTGTTATAACAGTCTTTGAAAATCTATATAAATTTCTGATTTTTAAAATATTAGTTGCCTCATTTAATTACATATATCAGATTTTGTTTGGGAAAGTAGAAACTTATGTGTGGTTGTGACTTTTCTGTCTTATTAATGTCCACATTGTGTCCGTTTTATCTGCCTTAATTTGACAGATGAGCATTGTGCTCCAGGTACAAATTTGTAGCCTGTCTCTGAAAATTCAAGAAGTCTAAAGAGGCACCTGGATTACAGGCTCTGTGTAGCTGCCAGGCATTGTTCATGGCTGCATCAATCAAGTAGCTCACCATAACTGAGTACCAGTTCTTGCTTCTTATTCTCACCCTATATTCAGAAATGATTTAATCCATTTTAGCTACACGTTCCCTGCATTCATCATACAATCTCACTATGGATGGTTGGCTTATCTGAGCCATCTCCTCATCATCCAAAAAACAACGTTATCTCACTGACGGGGCTCTATGCCAACAGTGTTGGAGCACAGACTGATAATGCCACCACCATGCGAATGACACAAAATTATCTCATCTTTTTCTTCCATTCGGAAAACAAAATACCCCTTCTTCATTTTTTTCATATGTTCTGCATTCATAAGGGGACATTCTTCAGTCCTGTTCTCATGGATTGCTCCTGTTGCCCTCATGCCTTCTTCTTCAAGGTTGAGAGTAACTTGACACTTGCACAGAAGCCATCAAAACACAGATGAAAGGGATGCTGACCTCTCTCTAAAGAACATCAGCAAAATTTATCACTAGATTTCCAACTAAGGCAAGATCAAGATCCTTATCTGCCATCATAGTGGACTCATCTTGAATGGGCTCAAACCAAACCTGATAAGCGTGTGTGGTTGTACCACACCAAGTTTTATAGCTGATTTTAACAGGTTTCCCATTCAGGAATTGGTCACTATCAAAACATTCACACATTGTCTTATCAAAACAATAGTTTTCTTGTAGGAACGCATACAAGGGGAAATTTTTATTCATTTGTTTTATGAGTGGCCTCAGTTTTGTGAACTTATCTTTTGGATCCAGGTGGTTATCTGAAAAATGCAGGTATGAAAAAATCAATTGAAATCTGTTTCTTCCAATGGCATCTCTAATCTGGTTCTGACCTGCACCAGAGATTTCCCAATACGTTTCCCTTCTGAGATGTCTCATAATTCCACTCAAAAGCAGGACACCAAACATATACCTTACTTCCTGAACTTACTTCCTGACTTCCAAGTTGACATTTTTCTAAGAAGCATAACTGTTGGTTTCACTGACAAGCAAGTTGAATGTTTCATCATCAAAAATTAATTCAAAGAACTCTACTAGGTTCAAGTTTTCACTCTTGAGATTCAAAAGTCCAGAATCCAGTACTGACCAGCTTAGAAAAGTGGTATAATTAATGTCTCTTTGGGTCCAATTCTCCTCTGGGACATTTAATGCCTTTGGGTTTTCTTTGGAGCCGGCTGGGTCTCTGGCTCATTATCTTCTTCCACATCTGAGTCACCAGGAAATGCAAGGCCTGAGAGCACTTCACTCACTCAAGCTTTGTCTTCTTTTCTCCCTTTTCGGTTACTATCTCCTATAGCATATTCCTGGGAGGAGATGTGCATGCAGACCCACAAGTCACCTGGGTAACAATCCTTCAGAGTGTTCAAATGTCAACTGACCTTTCGGTAGCAACAGGAGTTCAAGGGACCTGGAGCTCAGTCTCTGAGAGAGGGAAAAGAACAGATGCTCTAAGAATCCAGTGTTATTCGCTAGTACACAACTCCACCCATGCCGCAGTCTTCTTCTGTGGGGCTAGCTTACTTCTCACTCGTCATATTTCCATGAGGACAACTTTGGCCAGACCTAACGTTGCTGGGCTCTCCCCAGCTCTCACTCACTCCTCATGACTCAACTAATTGTTGTATCTGGGAGAAGGAACCCAGTTCCCCACAGCACGTATTTCAAATCTTCATCACTCTTTTCAAATCTTCTACCCAATTTCTGGTATCTCCAAACATACCCAAAGACCCAGCATTTTCAGGCAAAGGCTGGCAGTGTGAAAGGGCATCCTCCCATGGCTCTAGGGATGCCTTCCTCCTGGCTCTCCTTCTGCCTGTTTCATGCATTAGCACATTCTATTTCTGCTTCCCTCCTTTCCATCGCCTCTTTATCTAGCAAACTGATGCTTACTCATCAAGTCTTGTTTTAAATGTCACCTCTTCTGGGACATCTTCACTAACACTCCAAATTTCAGCTGGGTGCCTCGCCTGCATGGTGTCAAAGCGTACAGCATGATAGCTCTGAGTTTCCCCGTCTGCTGTGCCCCATGTGACTTACTGAGGGTAAGGTTCTGCACATTACATGTGACTAAACAAGAGTGGTGAAAAGTTCGCTGTATGAGGAAAGAAAGGAAGAATATGAAATGAGAGTGAAAAACTCCTAAAGGTGTTCCTGGAAAACACTGTCCTCCCTCATCAGTTCATCACCTGATTCTCCCAACTCAAACCTGGATCCCCACCTCCACCTAGTCCATCTTAGTCTGTGACATCCAGAGCAAGTTTCAGATCCCTAATAATCTGCCCCAAGACAGTGGCAGACTCTGACTTTCTTGCCAAAATCCCTTGGCACTCCTCCTGTATTATTCCAGGGAAACAGGTTTTTGACAACTGATTTCTCTGGTTCCACTCAAATTTCTTCTTACATCTGCAGAATTTATTCTACTTGGAACCATGGGCACTCACCTATTGGGTCTTCCTGAGGCCTTAGCACCTTGGTCCATTTCTTCAGATGTTTCTTGCTTTGCATTAGACAATCCATCTTTAGTTACAACTTCTTCAGCTAAAACAATACATTAATAAATTAAATGCCATCTGTTGCCTGAACTTAGAATAAACAATATTTAGGGTAGGACTAGGGTGTTTCAAATTAAAACAAAAGAACAGAAATTCAATAGGTGTCCTACAAGTATAGTCTGAGCAACCACACGAAATGTGGCACAACATGGGAAAAGAGTAAGAAAGGTCAGCCCGGCCAGTGTGGCTCAGTGAATTGAACGCCATCCCATGGGCTGAAAGTTCCCAGTGCAATTCCGGGTCGGGGCACATGCCTGGGTTGTGGGCTTGATTCCTGGTGGGGGCCATGCAGAAGGTGGCCGACCGGTGTAATTCTCTCACATCAACGTTTCTATCTCTCCCTTTCTCTCTTTCTAAAAAAACAATAAAAACCTTTTTTTAAGGTCAATTAGCTAGGAAGAGGGACTAACAAGGCAAAACACATCTACAGAAATTGCACATGGATAGTAGTGCTCTCGGTGAAGAGGTTCCTCTGAGGTAGAGGAACGATGAGCACAGGGGTTCATGGATCTCCCTCACATGAAGGGATGTCTGAAAACGACAGAGGAAGCAGAGGAGGAGCAGTGCAGGGAATTGGGGAATGCAGAAGGGTGAGCAGAGAAGAAAAGAATAACTGAGCACTTAGCAACAAAAGCTAATGTGACTGGGAGGGATGCAAAATGACAGGGGCTGAAAGCAGAGGCCAGAAAAAGGGGGGAGAGGGTGAGGGTCTGCAGAAAATGTAGGCTCAACAGGACCAAGCTGGGGTCAATGGGGGAAACGGTAAGCACAGAAGGGGACCAGAAGCCTGCCATTACTCATCAGACTGAGATTTGTAACCTCCTGAGCTGAGTTCCTATGGAAGTTCCTCTGAGATGTGGTCACTCTAGCATGAGGGCCTGGGCTTCTTCTTCCTCAGTCTTCACTGATGTCTAAAAAGGCAAAAATGGCCTCTTAGAGGAAGTCAATGGGGGAAGAAAGGGACAAACATCTGTAATATATTCAACAATAAGAAGAGTTTAAAAAAAAAAATGGCTTCAGTTTTCACTTTGCTAGGAATGAGAGGTCCAGCTATGAAGGGTGTCGAGTACCACGCCATGGACCTATAGTATCAACCCCTCAGCAGGGCCTTACTCTCTCCAGAGGCTAAGGGAGAATCGTCCTTGCCTCTCTCCTGGCTTCTGATGGTTGTCAGCAATCCTTGGTAATCGTTGGCTTGTAGATGCACCGCTCATCTCCACCACTGCTGTCACACAGTCTTAAGAGGACACCAATTACTGGACTTAGAGCCCACCCTAATCCAACATGACCCCATCTTAACTTGATTACATCTACATACAGTCTATTTGCAAATCAAGTTGCATTCATAGGTACCTGGGGTTAGGACTTCAACATATCTTCTGGGGCAACACAACTCAGCCCACATCATCTCAGCCCTACCTCAATTACGGTTATTTCTCTTTTTCTGTCTGGTATTTTGTTATTTGACTCAACATTAGTTTTGGGTTTTTTTCCCTTTAAATATGTTTTTATTGATTTTTTTAGAGAGAGAAAGGAAGGGGGAGAGAGAGAGAGAGAAACATCGATGTAAGAGAGACACGTCAATTGCTTGCCTCCTGCACACACCTCAACAGGGGCTGGGGATCAAACCCGCAACCCAGTCAAACCCGCAACCTAGGTATGTGTCCTTGACCGGGAATCAAACCTGCGGCCCTTTGGTAAATGGACCGACACTCTGTCCACTGAGCCACACTGGCCAGGGCTCAATATTAGTTTTATCTTTTTTTTTTCTTTATTGATTATTTTCTAGAGAGAGGAAAGGAAAGGAAGAGATAGAAACATCGATGAGAGAGAACATCAACTGGCTGCCTCCTGAACGCCCCCCACTACAAATCAAGCCCACAACCTGGGCATGTGCCCTGACCAGGAATCAAACTGGTGACCTCCTGGTGCATGGTCAACACTCAACCACTGAGCCACACCGGCCGGGCAAAACATTAGTTTTTATTCTACTGTCCACCCACCTCTGTTATTTCATTTTTCTAAACTTTTTATTTTCTCATTTCTATATAATTCAAACATTTATTATACACCAGTGTAAACATTTATTCACTCTGTTTCCTCTGGTGTAATCATGTCCAAACATCTGCATTTTGAAACACATACCACTTGTAAATAAATAACATTTTTCTATTATGCTAATACATTACATTTAAGACAATTACGTTGATTAAAAATATATATAGGTAAGTTTTATTTGCTATGCATCTCTCTTTAAGAAGGTAAAGTATGTGCCCTGGCCGATTTGGCTCAGCAGTTAGAGCATCGGCCTGTGGTCCGGAGAGACCCGGGTTCAGTTCCTACTAAGGGCATGTACCTCGGTTGCAGTTTGTCCCCGGCCCTGGTTGGGTCGTGCGGGTGGCAACCACTCGATGTGTCCCTTTCACGTCGATGTTTCTCTCTCTCTCTTCCTCTCTCTCCCTCCCACTCTATCTGAACAAAGAATGGAAAAATGTCCTCTGGTGAGGATTAAAAAAAAAAGAGGGTAAAGTGTTGTTAGCAACAGGGGGCACTGGGTCTGACAGCACGAAGAACCAATTAACAAGCTACAGGAACAGACTGAGCAAGGAGAAGACTCCACAAAGACCATGTCTTGAGAAAACTGATTTAGTAGCAGAGGACTTAAATGGGAGACCTAATTGTTTTTTTTAACTAAGTGACTAGGAAATTTCTTGAACCACTGAGAGAATGAAAAAAAAAGAAAAAAGTAAGATGTGAGGTTTTGTCTCGCACACACAGAATTTCCACTATCATCACCAAACATTAACTGGGCATGCACAGAACCGTGGAATGAACATGAAGGACTGTGAGGAAGAGCTCTGGTTCTCAGACTGAGGAGAGAACCCAGAGACCGCCAGAGGATAAAACATCAGCCACTAAGCATCAAGTGTGTGGAGGTACGTTCTGACACCTCCCGTCACCCCCACCCCTTGAGACTTCCGTTGCCTCCTAAACACGGGACCAAGTGAGGCCACAGCATGTCATCAGAAAGACCTCCTTGGATGCCACTGTGATCTGTGATATTCTGTGATGAGGGGAGGATTCTCAGGGCAAGGAACAGGCTCAGAACAGAAGGACTGCTGCTGAAGTTCCCACAAGCACACCCCGCTCACACTACCTGCCTCAACGTCAGGTGCTGCTGCCTTGTTGCTGGTTTTTTCCTGGAGAAGGGCCAGTCCCTAGGGAGCAGCAGTGAATGGGGAGACAAGAGTCCTGAGTGAGACACAACAGAATTTAGGAATACTCCTTAGGGGGGACCCAGCCCCACAAATCTTATGTTTGTTAAACATCCAAGAACCAAGATACAGATCTTATTGTCCTAGAGCATTCCAACTGTTTTCATTCGGTTAGCAATTCCACATTTCTAAGACTTTAGGGTCTCTATCCAGGAAACTGAATGGTATCCAGGAACTCCTGAGGTACTTTACATGAGGTACTTTCATATATATAAAGAGAATTTTATATCGTACCTGAAAGTAAAAAGGGGGAAGGAAGAAGCTGGTGATAAAGGAGGCATGAGGCACACACAGAAATGGAAGAAAAGTGGAGAATTGAGAGATAAGGCAAAGGGGAAACCAGAAAGCACAAAAGAGAAGCCTGAACAGAGAGGAAACAGAGTCCTCTTCTGGGAATGGTCTTCAGGCCTTCACAACGGTCCAGTGTCTGACAGTACAGCCTCTCACAAAACCAGGCTGTCCCAAACCCCTGGTAGAATTGTTTACTTTTATACCAAGAAGGATGGGAAAGCACCAAACTCTGCTTGTGATGTGTGCCCAGGCTGACTTCCGGGAGTCTGTGCTGTGAGACCTAAAGTTCTAACGAGGAGTCTAAGAGGAAAAACAACATTAGTGGGGCCTATGGTGGATCTGTGTGTGCCAAATGTGTCTGTGATAGGCCTGGCCAGTGTGGCTCAGGTGGCTGAGCATCGCCCCGTGGACCAGGAGGTCTCGGGTTCGGTTCCTGGTCAGGGTGCATGCCCAGGTTGTGGGCCCGATCCCCAGTGGGGGCAAGCAGGAAGAAGCCAATCAGTGTTCTCTCTCATCAATGTTTCTATCTCTCTCCCTTTCTCTCTAAAGTCAATAAAAACATAAAATAAATAAATAAATGTGTCCATGACAGGATCAAGTGTGCTTTCCTTATTGAGGAGCAGAAAATCCTTGTGTTGAAGGCATAAGCACAGAGTCACAAAGTAAGTTAAAAAAAAAGAGAGAGAGTAGATAATGAGGGAAGCTATACATGTGTGGAAGCAGGGGTTATATGGGAAACCTCTGTACCTTCCTTTCAATTGTTCTGTAACCCTAAACCTGCTCTACAAAAATGAAGTCATACATATACACATACAGAGAAATCAGCCACGAACTGGAAAATACCAGCATGAGGAGAAGATGCAGACAGCCTAGGAAATGGATCTCTAGCTCACCTGGCTCAGGTAACCTGGGGAAGGTGCTGGGGTTATAACTTGCAAGCAGTCTCCACAATATTTGCGAGGGGCTAAAAGAATAAAAACAGCCCTTGAGAATGACAAGGGGTGCTTCTGAAGGAGAAGAGAGCATCCCCACTGCAATCATGGCAGCAAGGGCCTCCCGTGGGGTTCAGAGGGCTGAGGAAGCCGCCCTCTGCCCAGAAAACTTTCAGTGGAGTGAGCCCTCTGAGACACCATGTGCAGTTCTTCAACCCTCCACTTAAAGAATCGTATTGCTATGACCACTGTTACCTTTCATCACTCTGGTGACTCAACTCCATTCTTCACTACCCTCTCCCCTTGTCCAGTCAAAATTAAATAAAATCAACGTAAGCAGATGTGCTCATCTTTTTACAGGTAAAAAGCAGGGGGAGCTTCTGCTCCACTGCAAACTCACATCTTTCAAGGCTCAACACAGGACGGCAGGGCTCCCTACCACCTCTAAACTTCTACACATAAGCAAAACATTTGAGGCTTCATGTGGTGGTAGTTTCTAATAATGGAAGAAAGTAGGAAAATATCAATTTCTACTTACCAGGGCCGGGGACAAACCGCAACCGAGGTATGCGCCCTTAGCGGGAACCGAACCCGGGTCTCTCTGGACCGCAGGCCGACGCTCTAACCAACCAGAGCCAAACCGGCCAGGGTTCAATTTCTACTTTTGCTACGATGGGTAAATATCACAAGTAATTTGACTTCTATACATTTTATCTCTCTTTAATGTTCATCTCATTTATTATATGACCATCTACTCTGCACTTACTGCCAAAATATCAATATTCACAGATCACCAATGTAGTGATTGCTAAACATTAATTGGGATAAATCATGAACCCTCTGAAATCACATGTGTAATTTTGTATTTTCAGTAGCCCCCTTATCTGCGGAGGACACATTCCAAAACCCCAATAGGTGCCTGAAACACTGATAGCCCCGAACCCTATAAGCACTATGTTTTTCCTATACACACTCATCTTGTCACGAAACATTTTACAGCTTCTCTCTGGAATGTATGAACTGCTGGCACCATTACTCTTGTACTTTGGGGCCAGGATTACATAAAATAAGGGTGACCTGAACAACACACTAAGATATCAGGAGGGGCGGGGAGCGCACAGCATGTACATGCTGGGAGGGATCCTGCCCTGTGCGGGTTGGAATGAAGTGGCACGAGATTTCATTACACTTCTCAAAGAGCTCATAATTTAAAACTTATGAACCATTACAAGTAAATTGTAATTGAAACATAAATAAAGTATAAGTTAAGAATTGTTTATTTCTGGCCCTGGCCAGTTTGGCTCAGTGGCAGAGCATTGACCCGAGGACCAATGAGTCAGGGATTCCATTCCAGTCAAGGGCACATACCTCGGCTGTGGTTTGTCCCCAGCCCTGGTCGTGGTCATGCAGGAGACAACCAGTCGATGTGTCCCTCTCATGTCAATGTTTCTCTCTCTCCCCCTTTCTCTTCCTCTCTCCCCCTCCCACTGTGTCTGAAGATAAATAGAAAAAAATATCCTCAGGTGAGGATTAAAAAAAAAATTGTTTATTTCTGGAATCCTCCATCCAATATTTTCAGACTGCAATCGACACTGCACAGCTGAAACCACAGGTATGGGGATTACTGTACATGACTTTTCCAGGAAAGAGAGCTAAGTTTTCAACAAATCTAGGGGAAAACTCCTCCCCATGAAGATTACTCACTGTGTAGCTGTAAGGTCTCCCATTTGAAATGTCTGTCCTCCTCAATGCCCCTGCCAGAGCCTGCACAGAGCTGACGTACAACCAAGAGGGGGATGGATTTCCTGGAGGTGAAGCCTGGATAAGGAAAGGAAGGGTGCAGGACAGAGAGGGTGCACTCAGAGCGGAAAAGGAGAGCACCCACATAAGCCTAAAGCTGCATTTTAAAGGACTGAAAGATTAGATTAGGTTGGGAGGATTTGCAAGAGAATGTTATCATGGGGAGGGGGGTACAAATTTGTGGAAAGCTACTAAGTAAATATTTAAAATCCCCTCAAGTGTAGAATAAGATGTGAAGCAGAGAATTCTGCTCAAAGATCAGGTGACTTAAATACTAGAAGCTGATCTACCTCTGTTGACCCTGGGCAGGTAATTTAAAATCTTGAGGTTTGGTTGTCCGAATTATTAATTAACAGTGTTGGACAGGAAGATCTTAGAATTGTAACATTTTACAATTTCAAATGTTTTAAAATGCTTGCTTAAGTACAGGGTTAGACAAAAACAAAACTCAAGGACGTAGATACACAAGCTCTTACTAAAAAGACCACGCACCGGCCAGTGGCTTGCTCCCAGCAGCCTTACTAAACTCACTCCGAGCACTCACACTCACTTCTTGGACACTCTTTGGAGGGAACTCTGGAGGCTCACACTTCAGAGTGGTCACCCAGGCAGGAGTTGAAGGCTCTGACACTCCAAAGAGGGTCCCTGATATGCTGTCACCAGTAGGCCATGTCCTGTCTCTGAGTGTAGACAGAGGCCTGGGAACAAAAGATTCACCTTGCAGAGGCGTCCTGGTAGGAACTGGACCAAACAGCAGTTAGGAACATTCTCCAGGGAACACGAGACAAGCCCCATTTAATCCTCTAAAAAAGCAAGTAAGACAGAGAAGACTGAGACATTCATTTATCCAGCACATAGGGATACACAGCAGCCGAGATCCAGGCTCTGTTCTAATGCCAAGGATATAGCAGCAAATGCGAGAAGAGACATCTCCGAGAAGAAAAACAGCAAAATACAAAACCCCACAGGGATGCTGAAACTAGAAGGTGGAAGTTTCATGAGGAATATGACATACACACTGTCTAGGAATCTCTCCCACAGACTGCTTCTTAATTACACAGGGAAAATGGTGACTTCCCATGAGAACTCTGACAGATATGACCTTGACCACATCAGCAATGTGCCCACGTGCCACCTGACGAATGCACAAAGGACACACTATCACTGCTGTGGTATTCTAACCAAAATGCACAACCTGGATCTTATCATGAAAAACTGTAAGACAAACCCAAATGGCCTGTATTCTTCACAAATATCAACGTCACGACAGACAAAGGCTGAACAAAGTTCCCACATTCAAGGAGACTAAAGAGACATGGGTCCTGGCCGGTTTTGCTCAGTGGTTAGAGCATCGGCCCACGGACCGGAGTCGAGGGTTCAATTCCAGTCAAGGGCATGTACCTCGGTTGCAGTTTGGTCCCTGGCCCCAATCAGGGTCATATGGGAGGCAACCAATCAATGTGTCTCTCTCACATCAAAGTCTGCCCTCCCCCTCCTCCATACTCTATCTGAAGATAAATGAAGAAAAATATCCCCGAGTGAGGATTTAAAAAAAAAAGAAGGGCATGGGAACTAAATGCAATGTGCAATGCTGGACTATATCCTGAATCAAGGGGAACTGCATAAACACCACTTTGGGATAACATGGCAAAATTTGAACAAGCATTGCCTTTTGGATGACAGTCTCATAACCTCAATTTCCCTAAATTTGATAACTGTATTCTGGTTACACAAGACAAGTTCTTGTCCTTCAGAAATACAAACGGTTTAGCGGTAAAGGGACAGAGTATCTGCGACTACTTCTCCAATGGCATAAGAGCAAGTGCATGAGTGTGTGTTGGTGAGTGTGCATATGCAGAGCTGGGGGGGGGAGAAGGCGCACATCACAAAACAAATGTTGACGACTGGTGAGGGTGAAAAGTATACCGGGGTTCTCTGTATTACTCTCCAAATACTTCTTTAAGTTATAAGTTATTTCAAAATAACACATAAAAATGGCTCCTGCTGTCCTATGTCTCCTGTGTCTGTCTCAACATCCTCCAGTGCTATGACCACCTCCTCCCCACTCTGCGGGTGCGCGGGCAGGATGCTCAGGAACTGCTCCAGCACCAGCAGCTCCAGCATCTGTTCCTTGCTGTGCACCTCAGGCCAAAGCCAGCAGAGCTCTTGAGGCTGGGCCAGAGCCTCCCAAGGCCCAGTCACCCCAGGTAGCTAAACCGCTGGAAACCCAAGTGGCAAAGCTCTTGACTGTGGGAGCAGCTCTCCTGTGAACGGCACATCTGCTCCCACGTGGACTCTTCCACCTTGACTTTCACAAGACTGTTCCTATTTTCAGGAAGGGGTCACCCAAAAGCTTCATCCACGTTATGCTTTACGGCTAGGGTTTCCAGGAAGGCGTCATGGACACCTTGAACAACATGGGTCTTAACTGTGTGAGTTCACTTACATGCAGTTTGTTTTCAATAGATACTGTGTATGTATTTAGCTTATGATTTTAACATTTCTCTTCTCTAGCTTACTTTATTTAAAAATACAGCATAGCCCTGGCCGGTTTGGCTCAGCAGTAGAGCATCGACCTGCGGTCCGGAGAGACCTGGGTTCAGTTCCCGCTAAGGGCATGTACATCAGCTGCAGTTTGTCCCTGGCCCTGGTTGGGTCGTGCGGGTGGTGGCAACCACTCGATGTGTCCCTTTCACGTCGATGTTTCTCTCTCTCTCTCTCCCCCTCCCCACTCTATCTGAACAAAAAATGGAAAAATGTCCTCGGGTGAGGATAAAAAAAAAAAAGAATACAGTATACAATACATTTAATACACACCAAAAAAAAAAAAAAAAAGGCTACGAAAAGGTTCGCTTAGCTGTGATCTACACTTCAGAAATGTTTTTCCAAATGTCATCTGAGGCACTGATCATAACATGAAAATTACAAGAGCTTCAAAACGCCATGTACCATACTTATTACATTGCTGTCCTCACTGTAGGTGCTGCCTGTCTGTACTATGATTAAATAAACCCAGAGGTACGGTGAAGGACATGAGGGAAGGCGGGTTAACAATAAGGAAGTCGGAGCAGCTTATACTTCAGCTGGGGAGAAGGGATAATTTCAGTCTCTCAGTATTTCTCACAGAAAATTCCACCTTACATGTAGGTGAGGCAGACTGTTTCCAAAGTCTCCCCACAAATACCTGTTGTGATAAGACTATGCCATTCTTCCCCTGAATCTGTGCTGCCTATGACTAGCTTAGAACAACAGAATGTGGCAGAAAGGATAGTAAGAGGACATGCTCTTGCAGCTCTGGGCACACAGGCAGGGGACTGCCCTGCCCCCAGGGCCTGAGCTAGCCTGGCAGGTAAGGAGACCTCACCCGCTGAATGCAGCCTCACGCCTGAGTCACTCAGGTAAGACCAGCAGAACTGACCAGTCAACCTACAAAATGACAACAAATAATAAACCGAGGTTGTCCCACTAAGTTTGGGATTTCAATTTTTTTTTTAATGTAACAAGATCACTGAAACAACAAACATGCTTCCAGTTCTTTTGGTCTCTCTTCTTCCTTTTCTGACCTCAGTGACCATAATTGCAAGGTACCACTATGGGGCTCATACCTGCCTTCCCCATTCCAGGCCCACCCGTGAACTGGAGCTTCCAGGTCCGGCCTCTCCCGCACCCAGGTCCACACTTCCCACCCTGACACCAGGGTGGCCGCAAGGCCGCGCTCACTCTCCTCTCGTGTCTCCACCGTCCTCCACACATTCAGGTTCAAAACCAGTCCCCACCACTGTCCCCCGAGTGCGGTCAATTCCTTCCCTTCTTGCCACTTAAAGTCACTACTGCGACTACTTAGTCTCGGACATGCCTTCCGCACCCCCTCCATGGCCGTGGGGACACCTTTCAGCCCGATTCGGACCCCATTCAACACACTCCGCTCCAAAAACACAGGTCTCCGTCGCTCCTTCGCGAACTAAACCCGACCGCGCAGGCCCTCAGCTTTGCTGGGTTTCGCAGGTCCCCTCGGCCCTCAGCGAGCAGGGGTGGGCTCGGCATCGCCCCGCAGGCACTGGACCCGGAAGGACTGCAAGGCAGTCCGACCTTCCAGAAAGGTGGTGCTGCCGACTCCCCGTCCCGCCACCCCGAGGACGCCGACCTTCCCACCGCCCGTCCTTTGTGGCGGGACCTCCCACACCCCCGTGAATCCCCGGGGCCCAGCACCGAACCAAATACACAGACAAACTTCCTTCCTGCGAGCCACCCGAGGCGGTGTCCCGGCGGGAGCAGGTCGCAGCCCGCGCCGCGGCGCTGCCCCGCGAGGACGGGGTCCTCTTACCGGCATCAGCCCACACCCCAGGGCTGGGCGAGCCGAGCGGACCAGAGGCACCTACGCAGCCCGGAACCTCCCTTCTGGGGGGGGGGGTCTCCCTTCAGCACGTAGCATTGGGCGCACAGGGGCGCTGGATATGCGTCTCGGGGGGGTTAGTGGACAGAAGGCGGAGCGAACGCGCACAACAATGATGTTCCCGCCTCGTGACAGGCTCCGGGAGCACCCTGGGCCAGGGGTCGAAGGGCACGGGACGCCGGAGACTGGGCGTCGGAGGGCGGGGCAGCTTCTCCCCCAGCGTGTGCAGCCGGTGTGCGTCTGGGGTGCGTGCGGCCTCTCTAGGACGGGCTGCACGTCTCTCTGGTGCGCCAGGAGGCCCGCCCACTCCGCCCACACCCTTCCCCTCCCGGGCCTTCCCGGGACCCCAGCGGGGCGCTCGGTCAGGTAAATCACTGCTGTGGAAACCCAGTAAGATGGTAATGGCAAAAGTGAATCTCTGTCTTTAGGGTCATGACAAGCTGTGGAGAGTGGGAGGGCAGATGAACAATTACAGTACAGCAAACAGCACGTTATTTTTTTAACTTAAATGTACAGATTATATATATATATACACACACATATATATATATATACTCAAGTTTCAGATTATAAAGTGAAGTGTCTTACTCTTCATCATTGTTTTGTGCAGATCTTCCCAGGACTGGACCTACCACACAACTGCATTCAATAAATATTTAGTGAATAAGTGTGTATCTATATACTTTAAAATATGTATAGGATCTGTTGTAGACCAACGAGACAGACCAGACTCGGACTCCAAACTGGGTTCAAATTAAGAGAGCTTTGTTAGGCGCGTGGGGACTGTCCCATCCTACTCAGAGGAGAGAGCAGCCCCCAGCTCCAGGGGAGAGTTGCTTATATAGTTGTCTTAGCCCCTGTTAAGGATTTGGATTAAGGGTATGCAAGCAACCAAATTCATACGGAAGCAGATATTTGCAGTTAGCTGTTATGCCTGAGGGAACAATCAGTTTCGGTGTACACAAAGCAATGGTTATCTATACAATGCAGTGGTTATCTATATAATGCAGTGGTTATCTATTAGCAGATAGTTCTTGCCATTCCCTTAAAATCCAGGGGGCAAGGTCATGTGTTTGTCCTTTACAGACCATCCTGGTGGGTTTGGCTCAGCAGTCAGAGTGTGGGCCCAGGAACTAAAGGGTCTTGGCTTCCATTCCAGTTATGGTGCAATTCCCAGCCCCAACTGGGGTCACACACGAGGCAGCCAAATAAATACACATCATGTTCCTCTCCCTCCTACATTTCTAAAATAATAATAATAATCAATGGGGAAATATCCTCAGGTGAGGATTAACCAAAAAAAAAAAGTATGGGGTCATAATATAATTTGTGCCTTACTGTTTCAGTAAGATAATTTGGAGATCGTACCATAACCAGTTTATTTTTAACAGCCACATAGTATTCCACTGTGTGCACCATAATTATTCCTTTTGATGTATATACTTAGGTTCTCATTTTTTCCTGTTTAAGTAACACTACAGAGAACACCACTGGGGCCCTGGCCTGTTTGGCTCAGCGGTTAGAGAACACCACTGAGTGCTTTACATTCTCATGTAATCCTAAGGTAAATATTACATAATGAAATTGACTTGGTGGCTTGTACAGTTAAGTTTTTTACATACAGCTGTCCTATTTAATGTTTAAGGACACTGCTGTCTAAAAGTAAAAACTCTAATAAAATAATTCAACAAAAATGAATAAAATTGCAATTATAAATGACAAATTAACATGTGAAGATGTTCCACTTTGTAGTTAAAAAAAAAAAAATCTTTAAAAAACCAGCCAGCCAGGGGACTTTCGGTCAAGATGGCGGATAGGTAAACACGGTATCTGTCCTCCCACAACCACATCAAAGTTACAACTAAACTACAGAAAAACCAACATTCAAAACCGCCTGAAATCAAGCTGAATGGAAGTCCTACAACTACGGAATTAAAGAAGCTGCATCGAGACTGGTAGGAGGGGCGGAGGCTCCAGGGGTGGCGGCGAGACAG